TCTATTGAAGTACAGATGGCTGCTGACTCTGGAAGGTACTCCGTATTGTTTTATTGGATTTATCAAAATACCAGATTTTGCAGCAACTGCTCAAGCAAGACCACTAAGGCTTGAATTTTCCTCCAGGAGAGGAGACGTCTCTGACCCTGGATCACAGTTCTTCCACTGAGAAACTGTCACAGGCTCTCTAGGAATATCCTAACAACACCACAACTTGCCATGAAAATAAAGCAACCAAGATCCCCAACATGTGACGCCTCCATCTCAAAACTTTTTATAGCAGGCTCCTCATCATACCCCTTCCTGACGTTGGCCTGTTAATGGCATGAGATTAAGTAGATGTCATGACAGGCCTCTGCACAGTCGGACACCAACAAGTCGCGTGCATAGTTTTTGTTTTTGTTATTATTATTATTATTATTAGATTAGTTGAATAATATTTTAAATTGACAGTCCAACAATAGGCTGCTTTGTCAGTGGGATAACGGTTACCATACAATACCATGCGTCTTTTCAGATGCATTGCATGGGTACTGTCATAAGGACCTTACTTTGCGACCAGTTTATAGTGTCTATTATGCCAGCACAGGAATGGGAGGAAACTGAAACCCCTGGGCGAGGCAAATGCACTTAGGGGTGCCTGACTGGTAGCCCAGTGGCGCAATGGACAACGCGTCTGACTACTGACTAATCTGCTTTAAGTTACAAGGTTCGTAATGTTCAATTTCATGCGGTTACATGTTTTAAGTTGGAAGGTTTAATGCAGTTTTTATTTAAGGTGTTCAGGCAAAACACGTTTTATTTCATATACTGAGTAACGGAGTGAGAACTCGCGTTGGCGGGACACTGAATTTATTAAGTTGGAATGTGTGTGGAATTAATAGTCCAGTTAAAAGAGGAAAGGTTTATGCGCATCTTAAGAAATTGGATGCGGAGATAGTTTTTCTTCAAGAAACGCATATCAAAAGTACAGCAAAGTTTAGCATTAAGGCTCCATGGATGTCTCAGGTCTACCAGTCAAATTTCTTTACTAAAACTAGAGGAGTAGCAATTTTCATTAAGAAATCGGTCCCCTTTATACATAAGCAAACAATTAGGGATAGGAATGGCAGGTACTTATTTGTGTGGGGGGAGATAAATTCATTATCCATCACTTTAGTGAATGTGTATGGTCCTAACTTCGATGACCCTTCATTTTTTGAAAATGTCTTTAAAATCATACCTGACTTTATGCATTCACGAGTCATCATTGCAGGTGATTACAATTGCGTGTTAAATGCTAGGTTAGACACGCATCCCCGCCGAACCACAACAAATAAATCGGCTGGTGTACTAAGCAATTACATGCAAAAGTTAAATCTAATCTATTCCTGGAGAGCTTTGCATCCCACGGATCATGACTTTTCATTCTACTCCTCAGTCCATAAAACATACTCAAGAATTGACTTTTTCCTAATAGATTCAAGATTGTTGCAATGTGTAGTTTCAACTCAATATCATAATAGATTATTATCAGACCATGCCCCTGTTTCTCTTCATTTAAGAATACAATTTAGTAGAGGAAATTATGCCTGGAAATTTGATTATATGTTATTAATGTCACGGTAGACGTTTTCTCTGTTTCCTTCTAGTCTCGTGTTTATGTTGTTGTATGAATGCACGTGTGTGAGGGGTGTGTCTGTATGACATCACTTGATCCGCTCCAGCTGCTCATCATCACATCACCAGCTGCAGTTGATCATCACCACACTATTTATACTCACCGTCATTCTCTCATCTTTGTCAGATCGTTGTTTCATGTGGTTCGTGTTGGTGTTCCGGTGTCCAGTTCCTGCGTCCAGTTCCTGCCTTGTGTTCCTGTTCTTGGTCTGGATTCGAGTTCTACGTTTGTCTCACCATCGTCTCTTCACCGCACCACTTCACGCATCCTGACCATCTAGTCCCTGCGCCACCAGCCCACCCGTATCTCTGAACTGTCGTCTGTCCTCAAATAAACAAAGTGTTACTTGCATCTTTGCTTCCGCCTTTTGATTGTGACAGAACGATCTGACCCGATATGGAAGCAGCAAGCGAAACCGCCTCATCCCTGGAGGATTTCATCAAGTCCAGTATCTCACGGATGGATTCCCAGGAGAGGAACATGAACGAGTCGGGTCGGGCTATTCAAGCTCTTGTGGCGCAGGTGTCCGAGCTCACCCAGCAATTCCAACTTATGCGAGCTCCCACTGCGCCACCCACGTCGCCTGTTCCCCCGGTACCATCAGAGAACGTCTCCCAGTCAGAGCCCCGCCTACCAGTGCCTGAGAGCTACAACGGTGAGCCGAACTTTTGCAGGGCATTCCTAACACGTTGTTCGATGCACTTTTCTCTGCAGCCCAGGACCTTTGCGAACGAACGTAGCAAGGTCGCGTTCGTGCTCACGCTACTGACTGGGAGGGCAGCGTTATGGGGGACGGCGGTGTGGGAGAACCAGGATCCATGCTGTGCCTCGTTCCTGACACTCTCCGCCGAGATGAGAAGAGTGTTTGACCGCGCAGTCGCGGGAAGAGAAGCGGCACGGATTCTCGCAGACCTCAAGCAAGACGAAAGATCTGTATCTGATTACTCTATCGAGTTCCGGACCTTGGCGGCAGAGTGTCAGTGGAACGAGGAGGCGCAGTGGGACATGTTCCTGCATGGGCTGGCTGACCGCGTCCAGCGAGAGATTTACGCCATGGACTTACCTACTACTCTCAATGGACTGATCGAATTGGCGCTCCGTGTGGATTCTCAACTCTCCCGAGTCGAGCGTCGGAGTTTTCCTCGCTCGGGTGTCTGGAGCGGTGGAGACTCTGCGAGCCAGCGGCGGGGACGTGGTCAGCCCCGTCTACAATCACGAGCCCATGCAGGTCGGGCGAGCTCGGCTTTCCCGGGAGGAGAGGGAGAGGCGGAGATCCCAGGGCCTTTGCCTGTACTGTGGTGGAGCGGGACATTATGCTTACAACTGCCCGGTAAAAGGCCAAGCCCGATAGTAAACTTGAGGCTACTATCGGGTGGGATCTCCGCCAGGAAGACCTCATCGACTACATCTACCTCCACGCTCCTCCCGGTAAGACTAAGATGGTCAGTCCACCAGCACGATTGTCTTGCACTGTTGGACTCCGGGGCGGAAGGTAATTTTATGGACTATAATTTCGCACTTACATCCCAGATTTCCCTCCGACCCCTCACTCACCAGATTTCAGTTCACGCATTAAATGGTCAAGAGCTTCCCATCATTTCTCACACCACTGAAGACATCACACTTATTACCTCTGGCAACCACACCGAGACTATTTATTTTCTTATTTTGGACTCACCTCTGGCACCCGTTGTTCTCGGACATCCCTGGCTGATCAAACACAACCCTCGTGTGGACTGGATTAATAAAGCTGTGCTGGAGTGGAACAAGGAATGTCATAAGTCTTGTCTTGTGTCTGCTTGTTCGTCTGTACCTGTTTCTGTGTTTCAGGAGGAAGCAGGGGATTTGTCTAACGTGCCCGTGGAGTATCTGGACCTGAAGGAAGTGTTCAGTAAGTCTCGCGCTGCTTCTCTCCCTCCGCATCGTCCCTATGACTGTGCCATAGATTTACTGCCAGGTAAGTCTCCGCCTAAGGGCAAGTTATATTCACTTTCGATTCCTGAAAGAGAGGCTATGGAGAAATATATTTCTGATTCTCTGGCAACCAAGTTCATTTGCCCTTCCTCTTCTCCAGCGGGGGCGGGGTTCTTTTTTGTGGGGAAGAAGGATGGATCGTTGCGACCTTGCATTGATTACCGAGGGTTGAATAACATCACGGTGAAGAATACTTATCCTTTGCCGTTGATGTCTTCAGCCTTCGAGAGGTTGCAGGGAGCATCTATCTTCACAAAATTGGACTTACGTAACGCTTATCATTTGGTTCGCATTAGGGAGGGTGATGAGTGGAAAACTGCTTTTAACACCCCTAGGGGGCACTGTGAATATTTGGTTATGCCGTTCGGGCTGTCCAACTCCCCAGCAGTTTTCCAGGCACTGATCAATGACGTGTTGCGAGATATGATCGATCAGTTCATATATGTTTACCTGGATGACATATTGATTTTTTCCTCATCTCTCCAGGAACATGTGCAACACGTCCGACGAGTGCTTCAGAGGTTGCTAGAGAATGGGCTTTTTGTCAAGGCGGAGAAATGTGATTTTTATGCACAGTCTGTTCCTTTTCTAGGGTACATCGTGTCGTCCGAGGGAATGCGGATGGACCCTGAGAAGATCAAGGCTGTGGTTGATTGGCCAAGTCCAGATTCACGCAAGGCCCTGTTGAGGTTTCTGGGGTTCGCCAATTTTTACCGGCGTTTCATTCGCAATTTCAGCCAGCTAGTCGCGCCTCTGACTGCCTTGACCTCCCCCCGAACTGCGTTCAGGTGGTCTGACTCAGCCGAGGCTGTGTTCTCTAAACTGAAAAGCCGCTTTGTTTCAGCTCCGATTCTCATAGCCCCTGATTCATCACGTCAGTTCGTGGTGGAGGTCGACGCGTCAGAGGTGGGAGTAGGAGCAGTGTTATCCCAGCGTTCACCTGTGGACGACAGGGTGCACCCTTGCGCGTTTTTTTCACATCGATTATCCCCAGCCGAACGTAATTATGACATTCATATGAAGTGTGCACGCGTCTGCTCCATCGTGTCCTGATTATATGGTCCACTATATTTGCTTCTTATTTATTAATCCAGGCAAATTTGTTGATGAAACATTGATTAAAATGAAGATACAATTTATACAAAACGAAATAAAATTTAAAGAAAGGCTTCAATGTTGCCCTGAGGCAACAAACTTTTAATTAATAAATAAATTTAAAAATAATGATAATGTTTATTGATATTGTTATAGTGTCCAATTTTAAGCAGGAAAAACATAACAAATAATTTTTTTCTCACTGATATCATATTGCGTACCATAGAGGGTTAATAAATTATACACTGCGGTACTATGTATTAATAAATTATACACTGAGGTAACGTTACTATGTATTTAATATATAATACACTGGTACTATGTATTAATATATAATACACTGAGGTACTATAGTAGTGAGTTAAAACTACTCACGAATAGTTACAAATTTAAAGTGAATAGTTACAATTTTATTTACTCTAGTAATGGAAGATGGCATCCAAATACAAAAAGCACAGGGCTATGAGTGAAGAGGAGTGGATGTCACGCCTGCGAAGGTTTGCTGTTGTAGGGGTCTGGCCTTCTGAGGCAGGAAACAGGCCGGCACCCTGCCAGAAAAAGTGGCATGACCTGTATCAGTTGCACTTCCGACTCTTCTGCCATGTCCAGCACTGTCACAAGTGCCATGACAAGGAGGACACCATCGCCTGCCTGCAGTCCCAGGATGTTCATTCAGACTGTCTCTCCTCTGTCTCTTCCTCCCTCTCCTGTGTCCACAACCACATCTTCGATACCATCGGTAGCTGCTAGAGCTGTGAGAAACTCTTAAATTAAGTGGTTTTCTTCACAATGACACTTAACTTCAAATAATCATCCTTCATTATTTGCCTTTTTCATTTATAAAGGAAGTGTCCGCTGCTGCCGCCTCCTCCTCTGGTACCTCCTCTGCTCCTCTTGCCACTGCACCCTCTGGTCCATCACCTGCCACCACCAGCTCAGCCGTCATTCCAACTCCCACCTCTCTCCAGGCCACTGATGGACCTGCTGGACCTTCAGGGCCTGCATCTGTTGCACTTGAGCAACGACTGGTAATTATGCCTGTCACATTTTATTTTTATCATACCGTGTACTGATCATTTAGTAGACTTTTATTGTATTGCAATATTTATTATTATTGTTGTGTAATAATAATAATCATTATTATAATAATAATTATAAAATGTATTTGTATATCACTTTTAAAAAATGTTTTCAAATCACAAAAAATACACAATGCAATCATGAAACAGACAGAGATTTAAGACAATGAATAGAAATCTGAAGGATACATAAATGAATAAAAGCATAATGCTCTAATTAAAATCCATTTTTATAATAATGTGTTTTAAAAAGATTATTCAATTTTCCAGATTGTGCATGCTTGTACCGGCTCTGCTGCTGCTAGTCCCTCCTCTTCACTGCCATCACCCGTCACCCCTGCAGCCCCACAACAACTGGCAAGTCTTTTGTAACATGTTGTATCAGTGGTGTTATTGTCTTGCTTATAATTGTATTATTTTGATATTTGTTTAATTATTATTATTATTATTTATTATTATACATTTAACAGGTTTCAAATGAGGACACCACTGCACCCTCTGTCCCCACCAGCCTAGCCTCTGCTCCTCCGTACTTCCCCATCGTCCTCTCTTCCCACTGCTACAACTACAAGTCCCTCTGGGACACCTGCCATGACTCCAGCAGCACCACAGCAAGAGCTGGTAGGTCTTTTGTGACATGTAAACAGTGTGAAAGATGTGCTATTTTTCTGCCTGTGATATTGTTGTTATTTTATTTTTATATATTCATATATTTACCAGGCTGTGGATGAGCGCAGTATCCCAGGGATGGACAGAGTGGACAGCATGGCAGAGTACTTGGTGGGACTGAGGAATGAAACTGGACAAACACTTAAGTCCCAGCAGGCCAGTACCATCATAGCTCTTTGGCAGAACCTTCTACCGTATGACCAGCAGCGTGTGGCGTACTCTCCACGGTACAAGTCACGCCTGACAACAGGACGCTTCAGGTGCTCTAAAAAGAAACCTGAATTTACGCCAGGTGTGGAGAGCATGACACGTTGCGTCCTAGGATCGACACGATCCCCTGCCCAGTGGCCAGACTGTTGTCGTCTGGTAGAGTGCATTTTTGTAAAACTCTGTGACATCCATAAATGTCCAAAAAAACAGGGTACATATGCACTGACTAGATGGACTCTAATTCTCAGAGACTACAGCAAAATCAGACAGCAAGTCCTGGGTAATGGTGCAGTCATGCAGAGCTCTACTCTGCAGTTGTTTGATGTTAATCAAACAACTCTACTTCAATGGCACAACAAGCGACTGAAGAGGCAGGAATGTAGTATTCTGCTGCAAGGGGTCAACTTGCCTGCCTCCATTCCTGTTGCTCCCGTACCTCTCCCACCAGTACAGGTACGCCCCACTGCTGCACCACCACAGCCTGCCTCTCAACATCAGTACCACTTGCCTCAAAGTACAGCAGGACAAGCAGTGGTCAAGAGGAAGTCTGCAGCTCCGGCCCAACGCACAGATTTCCCTGCAGTCTATTCAGTTCAATTTTCATCCCACATAACACACTGTATATTACAGTTTTTTGTGTGAGCCTTGTAAGGAGTGTTGATTTTGTTTTTTGTATATTTTTTACCAGTTGATCAGAATCTTCTACCTTTATTGCTTGCTTGCTTTATTTATTTTATATTTGTATTTTATATTTAATTATTCAATTCATTTGTATGTGCCATGCTCACTGTGTGTGTGAGAGAGAAAGAGATAATTAAGATGTATATTTTGTAATATTTTTTTTATATATTTAAACAGCAAGGCCTTTATTTATTGCCAACATTCACTCAGAGAAGACAACTACAATGTTGCAGTACTTTCAATTCTATTTTCTTTCATGTTTAAATTAGATTGTGTTAATGAATTGGGTATTTTTTTTCTCAAGCAAATATGTAAAATACATACATACAAACAACACATGAATATAGTTATAACTTTTTATACATTTAAGTCGAAACATATGGTAATATTTCAGTTAGGGTTTTTGGTTAGAGATATTTCTATCTTTGTGTGTTTACTGCAATTATAATTTATCATCAGACATTTTTATCATGTGTGTGTATATATATATATATATATATATATATTTTTTATAAAAGTGTCTCTTTCATTAATCATTTTGTGAGCCTGAGTCAAAACATTATTATAATAATTACTATTATTATTATAGGCCTATATATCTAATGTGTATAGTACATTTCAAGGAACTCCATATTCATATGGGTAATAAATAAATATAAACATGTATCCATACAATGAGAAAAACATTAATAAAATAAACATATGAAACCATTTGAAATTCCAGTGAAATATCACTATAATATACAGTTAGAAAAGAGTAATTTAAAAAAGATAATAAAGATTTGAACCAATAAAATAAATAATACATTTCAAGAAACCACATATTCATACAATTATCCATACATGTAAAAAAAGTACGTTTTTATAAAATAAGTGTTAAGGCATAAAAGCACATTCAATTTATACATATGTGTTCATTAATTAAGAAAAGATTAGAAAATATATTGGGTGATTTCAACCTTGTCCGAGGTGGGACTCGAACCGACGTCGTTCACGTCAGTGATTTGCCCATGAAATATATAAAAAGGCAATTTTCTATCAAATATGAATACCAATCTACCAAAAAATCACACAGAAGTGTGAAAGGTGGGTTTATCTTTTCCCTTTCCTTTCCTTTTTCTCTTTTTTTTCCTTCTCTTTTCTCTCTTTTTCCTTCTCTTTTCTCTCTTTTTCCTTCTTCCCCTTCTTCCCATTCTTTTTCCTTCTCCCCTTCCTCAAACAGACTGGAGCTGGTAGAGCGGAGGACTGTAGGTGGCAATTTGACAATCCTTAGGTCGACTCCGGCTCGAAGGAGGTCTTTTTCACAAGCAAACATTTCATTGGCCATGCTTCTCGACGAGGCCGTCAGCGCTTGAGTTGGTAGTCCAGCATTTTGCAATCGCGACCGCCGCTGGAGGGCAAAAGCTCATTCCCTGACCAGGAATCGAACCCAGGCCACGGCGGTGAGAGCGCCGAATTCTAACCACTAGACCACCAGGGAAGGTCTGCTGACTCTTTCCCGTCAAGCCTGGCTGTGTGCCTCTACCAGATTTTGCAGCAACTGCTCAAGCAAGACCACTAAGGCTTGAATTTTCCTTCAGGAGAGGAGACTTCTCTGACCCTGGATCACAGTTATTCCACTGAGAAACTGTCACAGGCTCTGTAGGAATATCCTAACAGCACCACAACTTGCCATGAAAACAAAGCAACCAAGATCCCCAACATGTGACGCCTCCAACTTGAAGCTTTTTATAGCAGGCTCCTCATCAGACCCCTTCCTGACGTTGGCTCCAGGCCTGTTGATGGTATGAGATAAAGTAGATGTCATGACAGGCCTCTTCCCAGTCGGACACCAACAAGTCGCGTGCATAGTTTTTGTTATTATTATTATTGGATTAGTTAAATAATATTTTAAATTGACAGTCCAACAATAGGCTGCTTTGTCAGTGGGATAACGGTTACCTTACAATACCATGCGTCTTTTCAGATGCATTGCATGGGTACTGTAACAAGGACCTTGCTTTGCGACCAGTTTATGGTGTCTATTATAAAGCACAGGAATGGGAGGAAACTGAACCCTCTGGGCGAGGCAAATGCACTCAAGGGTGCCTGACTGGTGGGCCAGTGGCGCAATGGATAACGCGTCTGACTACGAATCAAAAGATTCCAGGTTCGACTCCTTGCTGGCTGGCTCGCTCTGCCTCTTTTGCTTTGCTGTCAGCCCATAGCCATTTTATTATTTCCTTTTATTAGCCCATAGTTTTTGTTATTATTATTATTGGATTAGTTGAATAATATTTTAAATTGACAGTCCAACAATAGGCTGCTTTGTCAGTGGGAGAACGGTTACCATACAATACCATGCTCTTTTCAGATGCATTGCATGGGTACTGTCACAAGGACCTTGCTTTGAGACCAGTTTATAGTGTCTATTATGCCAACACAGGAATGGGAGGAAACTGAACCCCCTGGGCGAGGCAAATGAGAGCTCCCTCCGATGAGCCTGATGAAATTGAATTCAGTAAAAAAATCCATTCGGATCATTCCCATATTCTTAAAGGGGGGCGGTCACACAATAAAAGCCAAAGGGCCTGCTCGAGGCTTGAGGAAGGTCCCATATGGTCTAGCGGTCAGGATTCCTGATTTTCACCCAGGCGGCCTGG